GCTGGAGTGGTGAGTGAGGTGAAGTCTTGAGTTCGGATAGGGGAGTGTCCCGAACTGCCATGGGGCGGGCCAGTTCAGGTCATTGCCTTGTGTGAGGCTCGAGGCCTAAGGGAGAGTTCGGGCTCCTTGTAGGGAGTTCGGGCTCCTAGTAGGGAGTTCGGACTGCTGGTAGGGAGTTTGGACTGTTGATTCCTCCCTTCGGTGCTCGCGCCTTGGGCGCGCTATTGTGTCGAGCTGTTGCCTTTGCCACGTGTTGAGTGATTACGAGGTCGGGCCAAATCTTCCTTCATCAGATCCAAAAACGATTTTAACAATGTTTTAGACGAACCAAACGAGGAAGGAGAGACCCAATCTGCCAATCTCAGTGTGTTACCTTGTTTGTGAGGTCTTTTTCGGTTATGTAATCGGAGAAAGAAACGGAAGAGGCCCGTCTGTGTGTCTTCCCGGTAATCCATTGCTTTTCTTTCTCCCTTTTCCTATATATGGGCGAAGCAAACCTTTTTGCTCAAGTTGGGTTGAGACTTGAGACAACTAGTTTCGAACAAGTATCACAGAATGCATAGAGACAATTGTAGAGAAGCTTTAATGCATGCCCTCACCCCTTTCAAAAACTACCAGTCAGCACTTGTACTGCGCCAGGTGAAGCGCCGTGTGAAGCCAGCACTCAAAATGTGACGCCAGAATTGAGTGTAGCGTGCATAGAATGAAGAAAGGGAGTTAACGCCGGGTAAAATGGTCGGAACTGAGTGAAGTCTCTCTCCTCTCCGGTTGTCTCTTCGGCGCCAGCAACAAGTCGTCTTTCTCCGGCAATGGCTGAGTAAACAGTGGGCGCATTAATGTTCCAGCGACGTGCAACAGGAATCGTCCTCCAGCAATGTTACTAGATCCTTTGACTTCAACTTCAACTTTTCCTGCATCGTGTACGACCATCGAAATCAACTTTTCCGGCTTGACACCACCGGCGTGAGGGAGCTGGTTTTCGGATTCTCTGTAAATAAAGTATGAACAGTGGTTTGCACCGATCAAAATAGATGATGGGTTATTTTCGTAATTTTAATCGATAATCAAATAGTTGCGGGTATTTAAGACTTTTTATCTTCTAATTGACGAAAATTTAACACTCAGGTATCAAATTGTCTCAAATTGAAAGTTCTGGTGTTAGATTGTTGCGATTTAAATCGTACTGACGGGTTTTTAGGACTTTTTATCTTCAAATTGACGAAAATTTAACACCAAGTATTAAATTGTCGCAAATTAAAAGTTTGGGGTGCTAGGTTGTTGCGATTTAAAGTACAGATGCTAATTTGGCACTCGACCTAAAGTACAAGATATTTATCGAAATTTTTTCTATAAAAGAAAATAGATAAATACACTTATCCGGGAAAACCTTTCTTAGAAAATAGATAAATAACTTAAAGAAAAACAAATGAAACCATGATCTTTTTTATTTCAGTCTCTTTGCCACCTTGGCAAAGGAAGAAGGAAAAGAGAAAGAAAGTATGCAAAAAGACTTCAAGAGTGATTTTGATAAGAGTTACCTTTTCTCTTTAGGAGAGATTTTGCCTTTCATGTATATAATCTGTTCTACGAGCTCTCAATAATCGGATCCCAAGGGATACAGGAGGTTCATTTTGTTTCGAGTGGGAAGATTTCAAGGAGATGAGTGAGGTGCTCATAAGAAGTATACTTCCTTTCTCTCTCATTTTGTCACACCTATTGGAGTATTTTATCTCATTTTGCCACCTCCCACCTGTTGGTATCCATGTTCAATTACAAAGCAAGGGGACTGTAGCAGATAGCAAATGTCAAGTTGGAATTGGAGGCATTGAAACTATGCTTAATTTTTTCACTACTCTTATGGGTCATCAATTTGAAGTGGCATTATGAATCATAACGACGAATTCTCGAAGTTCATATCCTACGAAGTGGCAAATGGTGAATATCCACGCAAATTCAAGGTGTATCATGAATCATGATACATATCCATTCCCTATTTTAGCCATACATATTGTGATACTGATACTTTAAAACTTCATTAAAATGTTCTGTCAGTCAGCTTGTTCTTCTTTTATTTATTTAGGCTTTGTTTCAGAAAGAGTATAAATATAAATATGTACGGTATAAATATATATAAAATATAAGGTTTTACATTATACATATTTCTATTTATACGCCTTCCAAACTGAACCTTACTTCCATTCGATAGGAGCGACCCAAACTATTGTGATACAGTTCAAAGCATAAAGGTTTTCTTTGTTATAATCCACCCTAAGTATTTCAGTACTCCAACAATTCTTCATGATTTTGATATCGCAAGGTACTCAGTGTTCAATGGAGGATACACCAAATCAACCACCATGGAAGCTGTTGCGTACCAGAGGTGCAAATTCTGTGATCAACCTGCATATGTGTGCATCTCCAGCTTATCTCCTTTAATTGCACATTTCTTTTATTGGAATGACGGTCTGTAAGAATATTTGCAGCAGTCTCTCAATCAGATGGTTAAGATCCTTCAGCAAAATGAATTTCTATTTTGGGTGTATTTTAGGGATTGGTGGGACAAATGGATGCTTGATGACATAACTCACCAAGTCCAAGCCTCCAGGGAGGTCCTTATTAACAGAGAGAGTGAACGAAGTCTAATTTCAGCCAGTGAAGTCATATAAGCACGGTCTAGTAAATTATACAAGGGATTAATACCAAAACATATTGCACTGCTGGAGTTAGGCACTTCAGAACTCTCTTTCTTTGGCAATTTTTCAATTGATACCTATCCTGTCTCTGCCAATTGGAGGGCTCATGGTTGTCCATTAGATTTCATGTGGCTATGGTAACCCAGATCTCTCTCTCACACACACACATAGTTGTGGCCCCTTGGTCATTCGAGAGTTTTATCTTGAGAGGGAAAAAAGACAAAGTGGCAATGGAAAAAAGACAAAGTGGCAATGGTTGGTCAGGGTTAACTATAGCTTGAATAACACCTGTTCGGCCCCACTTTAACCGACAATTACACAGGTTGGAAAGGAAGAATAGACCATTTTGTTCCATTGACTGCTTTAACCTCTAGAATGAAGCATGTGATACAATTAAAGTCTAGTTCTTGTGCTTCTAAGGCAATCAATGCATGGGGTAAAATGGTTCAGTCTTGGTCAGACCAAGGTTCATCTGGATCAATCAATCACTCATCCATCTGACAATTATACCCTCAAAAAGGGAAATCAACCCAGTTCTAGCCTTCTAGGATCATCAAATTTGAAGCATTTCAAGTAAACATGTCCCTTTACAGTACTTAATAGGAGTTGGGTTGAAACTGGTCTGATGATTCTGATCTGAACCAGCCAAGTGAGACATGAAAGAAGGTCGGTGGAGGTAGCTGTCTTTCTGTCTCGACTCTTGGTTGGGGATCGTGTGGTCAATGGACAGAAAGCTTATAATTGAAAAAGCAAACTGGGAAAAAAGAAGAGTTTGAGAGACCAAATGCTCAAATAGCCAATAACCCTTCATTTTGAAATGTCAATGCTTCTTCTTGCTGTATCTTCTACCCGCAAAAAGCCAAAAAGGTAGTCAATAAAATAGTAGAGTTTGCTGTCTTTGTTCGCCTTGGGCCTCATGGCCCATTGGTTCTACTTCTACAAGGATCTTGTCAAGGTGCATCAGTACTACCATATTGCATGCCCCTTCCATCCAATCGCCACACAGTTCAATCATGATTTGGATCGGAATTCATATTATAGTGACCCATATTTGAATCCGAATCCAAGTTTGCTTACATACAGTTATCTGACCCGTGAATCAGAAGCCCCAAAGGCCAAAGCTCATCAAGAAATCAAGAAAAGAAATAAAATATATGATAAAAGTAGTTTCTCTCACAAACAGCATGCAATTTCTAGAAATTTCCTTCACCCACGTAACCAAACCATTCCCAGTCCCACCTCAAGGAAACTTCTTCTGACAATAACACCCTCTATCGTCATCTGCTTCCCTTTGTTGCTCCAAAGACAAATTCGTCATTTACACTACCTCCGTCTTGGGTCCCACTTAAATGAGATCCTGACCTTTCATTCATGGTAAATGTATTTCACACCAGAATGTGAGGCCCATTACCTTCCAAATGGGCCCCACTAATGGTGACTCTGAGTAAGACACGTGTCCTAATGAAGACACCAGCATTAAAATATAAAGATAGTACATGAAACAGCTTATCACTAAAGACAAAGGACGATTCCGTCCAACGAAAAATCGAGTTTATCAACCTTTTTTTCGGTACCTCGCGTTGGAGTTTACTAACCGTTGCACGTAAATTCCCCTCGAAGCAACTCTGTGTCAGAAATTAACACAAGAGAGAATGTTACTAAGTTCAACGCTTCATGGTCCTCCACAACCAACGGCCCAGATTACCCTCATCTTTCATAAATCCATGACTACTAATCTCTCTTTCTTTTTCTCTCGCTCTCTCGCTCTCTCGCTCTCTCTCTCTGGCTCTCGTCGTCAAGACTCAAAGAAAACATACCAACCAGAGAGAGCGAAAAGACGACATGGCTCGGCCTAGACTTCCTTCTCTCTTCTTTCTGTTATCTCTCCTGCTCGCCTTCTCTCTCCTCCCAAGCCCAGCGCTTTCCGGCATAGACTCCTTCATCTACGGTGGCTGCTCTCAGCTCAAATACACCCCGGCCTCAGCTTACGAGACCAACCTCAACTCCCTCCTCACCTCCCTGGTCAACTCCGCCTCCTACTCTACATACAACAACTTCACCATCGTGGGCTCCAGCTCACAGGACGTCGTCTACGGCCTTTACCAATGCCGCGGCGACCTCTCCATGCCCGACTGCTCCCAGTGCGTCGCTAGCGCCGTGCGCCAGCTCGGCGTCCTCTGCATGGGCTCCTGCGGTGGCGCGTTGCAGCTGCAGGGGTGCTTCGCCAAGTATGACAACACCACGTTCCTGGGCGTCGAAGACAAGACGGTTGTGCTGAAGAAGTGTGGAGCGTCGATTGGGTACAATTCGGACACCTTGAGCCGGAGAGATGCAGTGCTGGCCGGTCTGTCGAGCGGAGGTGGGACATACAGGGTGGGGGGATCCGGGAATGTTCAGGGTGTGGCCCAGTGTGTCGGAGACTTGAGCCCAAGCGAGTGTCAGGGTTGTTTGTCGCAGGCGATCGGACGGTTGAGGACTGACTGTGGCACGGCTGCTTCCGGCGATATGTTCTTGGCCAAGTGTTATGTCAGGTACTCGTCCAGCTCTGTTGGTATAGGGGATTATTACTCCAAGGCGGATAACGGTAAGCAGTTCTGCCACCACGGATGGTGGTTTCTGGTTCTCTGGTTTTATTATTATTTTCTTTGGGTTTAATTAGTGAGAGTCTGTGTGCTTGATGAAATTTTGCTGAAACCAATCTCCTTGAACTGGTTTTGAATTTACGTGTCTCCTGTAAATGAGAAGAATCATTTGCAGGGTGGTTTCAGTGGATCCAAAATATTAAAGAAGATTTTGTAATTTTTTTCCTTGTTTTTATTTTTTGTTCTTTCTTTTTGTGTTCTCTGGTGTGTATCGTTGATTCTGGTTTGTGGTGTGTTGATGAGTTCTTAAATGTACATATTTACAAAAATGTCCTCCTATTGTGATTGAATTTTCCATGCCTTGACAGAGACAATATAGACTTATTGAGAGCCAACTTTAGTGATTTGCTAGTTGTTTGGTTTGGTCTATATGGGAATGGCTCTGCTGGTACCACACAACACCCATAAACCGGGGGTGGAGTGGAGGCTAACTTGCCATTTTTCAGGCAAGTCCCCACCAACAATTGGGTCCCATCAAAGAAATCAGATTGGTCAGCCTATATTTGGAGGGAGAGAATATCACAATTCCTTGAATATTCAAAATGATAATGCAGAAATCACGTAGCTAAAGGCCATCTGATCAGGCTGGTTTTAGGTGTAAGCACTCTAATGGTGGGCCCTCTAAATATTTAACAGGTGGCTAGCTATGGGGGCCCTACATCATAACGAGACATTTGGGTCTTCACACCTAAGCCAATTCCTTTCAGTCATAGTGATTGTGGTGAGCAAGTTTTAAAGCATGAGAGCTATTTGACAAGATCTGAGGGTGAAGAAAAAAAAAAGATTAAATAGTAAATCCCAATAGCACCTTTCATTTTCAAAAGCTAGCCTTAGCCAATGAAAAGATGTAAGGTGACTTTCCACCACACAATTCTTTAAGGGGGAAGGCATGAAATATGCTTTTGGACTGGTTGGTATTGAATATATAACAACTTTCTAGTCACAAGTTCTTAGAAGGTTTCTTTCCAATCACTTATTTGTTTAGCATTATTATCTGCATAATGTAAGGGCCCACAATGAATCACAATCTCATTATGAGTCTTATCACACAAAGGAAGAATGCAATGGTGATGGTGTGATTGTCAGAGAAGCATTATTAGTAATCCTTAATTGTTTGAAATGAAGCCAAACAACCCACCCCCCAATTTACACCCAAAGATATGCCACTAACCATACCCCTGAAGTATTAATTATGGGAATGGCATTAAAACAAAGGAGCCATTTGAGAAGGATTGTAGTGGCTGAGCTTAATGGCTTATTACTTAATCTCTTAGTGAATATAAGTCATTAAGGCTGCATTTGGCATTTCTTATTTTAAAGATTTGTCTCCTTTTTGCATTTAAAAATTCAGTGTTCTTAGGGCCATTTTAACTGTAAAAGGGAGTTAAGTCCTTGAAATAAGAAATGCCGCAGCCTAAGTAGGTTGTAATCTCTTTAATGGCTAAATGGTATATTAGGTATATTATTGACCTTTAAATATTTTATTATGCATGTAACTATTTTTACCCATTGTTAGGAAACAAAAAAAAAAAAAACTATTTTTATCCATTATAAGGCAAACCAATATAATAATTCAGTTCAGCCTCTTCAACTGTTATCAATTGGCCCCTAAGATACTTCAATTCAGTATGCAAGTTCGATTTAAATGAGAAATATAGCACTACTGGTTTCATGTGGTCCTTATATCAACTTGATATGAACATTGCATGATTGGTAGCCTCGTGGTTATTGCAGTTGGGGCCTGCCTCGACCTCCATTTATCTTTCCCAAGAAAACTTAGGTTATGCTTGGTTTCAGAGAAATTAATAGATAAGAGAGAAACAGAAAGAATGAACTAATTCTCATTCTGTTTCTCTTATTTTTTTATTTAAACAAACCCAGCCTTAATATAAAGAGTGCACTTATTTTCATGACAGAAATGAAATAGTTATTAATAATAGCTTCAATTATTATAAATCATCAAATTCCAAGATAAAAAAGAAATATTGAAGTCATTTTTCTCTTTGAATTACAGATTCTTCTGATGAGGTTGGGAAGACTCTCGCAATTATCATCGGACTATTAGCTGGGGTGGCTTTGATCATTGTTTTTGCTTCCTTCTTAAGTAGGCTGTGTGGAGATAAAGGTAAGCCCCCTTTTGTTTTCTCTTTTGCTTTTATAATGCTTTTACACTGTGAAGTCTGTAGAAAGAACATACAAACAAGACACTTGGTTCACCCACTTGACCTGGGCAATTGTTGTGCAGGTAAATAAATGAATAGTGAAAGTGGAAATTGAAATCCCCAGAATTGCAATCCACTATTCCTCCTCCCTCCGTCAGCTCACTTTCGGTGGTCTTCTCGCTTCACTTTGTTCTCTTGGATTCTACTTTTCTTTCTCTCTTTATCTTTTTGTTCAAGTTTCTTTTGTATTTCCCATAAACAGAGATTTATAAAAGAAAGGTGGAAAAGATTTGTGGGGACAGGTACATTGGAATTTGGAACAAGTGAAGAGAAAGCTAGAAAGTTAAGACGCAGGAACACCAATATTCCATACTCCTCACCACCCCCACTTATGAAAGTTCTTGTCTAATGTGCAGAAGGAAATGGAAAATTCTTTTTAGAAGGTGATAATGTGCATTGTAATGTTTTTATAGTCTGTTGAGTTGGGTGTTTTTAAGGTTTGCTAGCCTCTACTTTATTACTTCATTTGGCCATTATTTAGGGGTTGGCAAGTTAATTTGGTTTTGCCCCCAAAAGTTAGGGTTTAAGCCTAATTATTATTCTCTAATTCTATTCGTCAATTCAATAATGTGATTCAATCTATTATTTGCACTTGGTCTTGGATCTAGTCAAACTTTACTTTCGGGAACCTCTAAACTCACAACTAAGAACATGGCTTTTGTCCTTTGCCACACCACTTTACAGTTCAAGGAAGTTTATTTTATTTTATCTCCTTCCAGTTTTAGCTTTGTTTTTAGTGAAGGCAAGTGGATTAATGGTGAATAACTAAGCAAGCAGAGGTGGATTTTAGACTTTAGTCCATATATACATACATACTATCAAAAAGCATGAACTTACCAACTAAGCAAGCTAACGTCCTTAAATCAAGTTGAATTGAAATTATCATTTGTATTTGACTTTGTTTGAACAATTGCTGATCTTAGATGCTCAATAGGAAAACTGCAATTAACCCAAATAGGTTGACATTTTGAGGACAATTAGCTAGGCTTGAGAAGAGTGCAAAACCCTATATATAGAATTTCTAAAATCTTGTATTTGTATTGTACATATTTATATTTGCACTGTTTCCAAAAATTAAGTATTAATATTTATTTTTCATGGAAGAGAGCTGGGGCTGGAGTAGTAGTGAGAGACTGACACGGTGAATTTGTGGTTGGGCTTGCAAAGCCCATACCAGTTGTGTTCCGTTATTGAAGCTGAGGTTATTGATTTAATATATGGACTTGTGCTGGACTGCTAGTGGATATAACTTCAATTTTCGAAGAATATCATCATTGAAGGAGACTCTTTGAAGTTTGAACATTGTTCGATCAGTCCCTGTTGAAGAAGTCTTCATCTTCACAGTGGCGAATTATACCTACTTTGGCTGGCCAATTGCAAGGATCTCCTTCATCATTTCGACTCTTCGTTTTGCTATAGGAACACGATTTGGAATCTGCAGCACACAAGCACACACTCTCTCCCAAGTGGGTCTCAAGTGAAATTCCCCTATAAGTTGGAGTGTCCATTCCCAATTGTACTGATTCTATTCTAGCTGAGGATGCTAGAACTGTGCAATTACCTATCGATTTGAAGCAATGAATCATGCCTGAAAAAAAAAAGTCTAGTCTCTCCAATTCTACTATTTTTTTTCTTTTGTTTGGTTTTTTAGTAAGTTTGCTTTATATTTAGTAAGATCAAAGTCCCAAAGGCTTTCTCTCTCTCTCTCTCACACACACATCCATTATCATCAATCATAATATGATTTTTGTGATTCTTATGTCCTAGAAATTTAAGTTCAGTTAGATAGGTCAATCGATCAATATTTTAGATGAAGTCATGACGATAAATTTAAACAGATCATTAAAAAGATATAATTTCCACTATGGTCCTGTTCGTTTTTCAGGTAAATGAGGGGGAGTTGTTCAATCAGAAGGTGATACCAATAACTTTATGTTCTTTTTTCTGTAAATTATGGGTCCCATGGTAAATGATTTTTGTCTGACTATCACTTACTGTTTTATCATTTAACTTATATATATTAAAGGAAGGTTTGCCCCATCATTCAAACATGCGGTTTTTTCAAATTTGGACACATGGCATTTTCTAAGAATTTATTGTTAAAGCCCACAGTCCACTATCACTATTCACACAAATGGCCTTCTCATTTTTTAGAAAGCTAGACACGTGACAATTTCTGATAAATTCCTGCTAAAACCCACAGCCCACTAGACACATGATCTTCTCATTTTCTAGAAAGCTAGACTCATGGCATTTTCTAACAAGTTGCTGCTAAAACCCACAACCCACTAATACCATGTTTAATCCATTCTTAAAAAATGCAGAAAATACAAAAATAGTTGTTCACAATTACTTCTGCCTATATTCATTCAATCTAAGTTAATCACTAACCCTCTACTTATCATAATAACTGAAAAGCTATTTTTTGAAATAAATATTTCTTGAAATTTTAATAATTATTTAAAATATTAATAAATATAAATTTAACATTATTGATTCCATAATGTAAATTTAACCTTACCGATCTCCATACTTAATACAGAGTCATTCATTAGTTAAAAAAATAAAAAAAAATGACGCACTTACCCAACTAAATAACTAAATAAAAAAACCAACGGGGCCTACCTATAAGGTGGAGCATGCCCAACCCTTCCCTAGTTGTTACCAACTTAGCAAGGACACTCTTCAAACCCTAGTTATATGTTATTTTAATAACTAGATCAATCCCAAGATGTGCTAGTGAACCTTATAGACCTTTCTTTCAATGCGTGACCAATTAAAGAGATGTGGAGTTATCTTTATGCAAAGAAAATTTAATCCAAGGGTCCCAGAAATCCAGAATCCTCCACTTTTCATATTATATTTATCTGATAATTCAACCCCGAATATGCTGTAACATGTGAACCCCACTAATGTCATTTTTTAAACAAGATTTGTTACTAAATGAAAATAATTTATCTTGACATGGCCATGGCCACTGATGGGGAATTTTCCAAATTAAATGAGAACCTTGTGTCACAAACACCTAGATACCTCTTCTGATGCTAGCTAAGCTTCTAGAGCTGTGCGGTTGTACCTGCCAGAGAAGCCATGTCCTATCTATCCATCAATTTACATAGAAGAAAGGGGTAATTTGAGTTCGGGATGCTGTTTATAATGGGAGTCGGGGATAAATACACTTAGAAAAATAATTTCTCCAATTCTGAAGTGGAATGAACTGTAAAAAGGCCTAGAAAAAAAAAAAAAAGGGAAAATTATGCACAAGTCCTGATGTCAAAATCCTCAGCCTATTGCCCCTTTCTCAAAACAATGCCCATGTGATGTGATACCTTTTTCTTATGCACTAAAAACTGTATATAAATTTTTGGGTCACACCCTCCCATGCACCCCAATTGTGTCAACAATTTCCGGTTAAAATGGTGATATAAATGTCTTTATTCACAAGGGTTTAAGGTCAAAATCCTTCAAATTCAAAGGAAAGCACATGAGAGTGACAACCCTAAAATGCTCAAAACGTTATTAGCAAGTGTTTATTTGATAATGTACTTTTGGCATTCACTTACTGATAAAGTACGCTTTAATAATGAATGATTATTTGATGAAGCACGAAGAGATTAGAAGGACACAATTTGGATAATAATAAATTACTATTATCACTACCCCAAACTGGACAGGCCAAGAATATTGCCTATATGAAGGAAATAAAACTGGATCCCATGGTCAATGGATGAAACATAAAACTTTGAAAAGAAAAATAAGAAAGCATTCTATTTCCATAGAAAGAGGTCGAAGATGGTAGAAGAGAAATAGAAAACCATCATGGGTCTAAAAATAAATAGTGCTAGCTAGAGAGGTGTGTAAGTTTGGCATAAAGGCGTCAATCATGTTTGTTCTCTCTCTTGAACTGGTATAGAGGCATCATCTATGTCTAGTCTGGATATTGCATTTTAGAAGTAATCTTCTTTGCCTTCTCTAAAGAAAATATCTACAAAATGTCTTTATCAGTCAAATAAAAAGAAAAGAAAAAGAAGTGCTACTTGATTTCCTTCTATCTTTTCATGAACTGGTTAATAACACAATCTTATCTCAAGACTAAATCAAGTTATAATTTGCCAATTCAAAATCCAATTTGACAGACTAGTTGGTTGAATCAGGTAGCCAAATTGGCTGACAAATTGCAATAAGTTATTCAGCTCAGCAACTTGAGCCATTATCAAGCGTTTGGCCCCTAAGCTTATAATAACCTTTCTTCACATTCCATTGTTGTTTTGGGCCAATTTCAAATAAAATAATGGAGTACCTTGTTCTTATTTTGATTTGCTTTTTCAATCTAAAGCAATGGGGAATTAAATTTATGGAAACATATGAATTTGTACAATGTAGATTTCTGATTTACACAGCAGGACTATAAACATTCAAATGGACCGATACCCACATTCTATGCATCCACACCCACCCATAAATTGACATTAATTTCGAACTGACATCTACCCCAATCGTATATTGAATCTACAAATTCTGACACTGGGGGTATCGGTCATTCTTCCTTAAATTTAATAAGTGGATTTACTGTTAAAATAAATTAAGTTTTGATTTGATTACATTTAATTTCGATGATCCATGTTGTAGGAAGAAGATTTAATCTACCATCCAGTGATGTTTTTTTATTATAAATAAACATTGTTCTGGTTCCTCATAATACAGGCAAATCAACAAATGTGACCTTTTTTCCTTCATGTCACATTTTCAGAACAGGAAATCTTTCCACCCATCAAAGTTACAAGCTAACCTCCATTTCTTACTGCTATAGTATGATGTGAGACTGAGTTATGTCCACTAACAAGGATTTCTTAGTAGTAATTGAATTAAAATAACAAGACAAGACAACAGTCTTTGTCCTAAAGCATGATGATATGAATATACTAGCTTATTATCTTCTTTTGGCTACTACACAGTGTACAGATAAACTTTTAGGTGGAGATAATGACAGGAAAATTAAGGTTGTTTCTCGAGTGGAAGCTGCTTTACAATCATTTACTTCTTTTAGGGAACATCCACTTGAGTAGTAGCTGATTGAGATGGAAAATGAAGTTCAAGGGGAAGGATAACAGAGAATGCACTCTAAGATAATATCCCTAATAATCTATACTTGCGTTGAAAGAGTGAATAAGAGTGTAAAAATTTTGTTTCACTAAAATATCTTAATTTTTAATGTAGTTTCTTTTTAATTGTAACGACAAAAATGTAATTTGAACAAATTGGGGTACTAAATAAGTGTAACAAAGAATAATTATTTTTTATTAATAATAGAAATAAAATATAAATTTAAAACCAATCAAATAATGGAGTTGTTTTTCTGTTTGATGGTTAGTCAACAATTCAACTTTTTGGGTCAAAATGTATCAACCCTTGATATTAGAGTTAACTAATAATAAAAATTTAAAAAGATGAAAGCACACAAAAATATAAAAGATATAAATAATTATAGAAAACATTTAGGTACATCTCTAATTTTGTATATTCATTATATTAAATAAAAATAAGTGTGAAAAAGAAGAATAATTTTTATAGACAAAAATTAA